ATTTTTATAAAACATTATAAAATTGAATAATTTTGTTATTCTTGAACATCATTTCCCCAAAACGCAATTTCTATACCTTCTAAATCATAGTTAGACATTTATTCATTATTTTATGAGTATAATTCCCAAAAATTGCAGAAATTTCGACATTTTATTATATATTTACACAAAATAATTGATCAAAATCAATTTTGTGAGTAAAAAATTCTTTAAACTATTTTTTTGTTTCAAAAAAATCAAATAGTAATATTTTATTATAAAATATAAGAAATGTTATTTTTATTTTCAAAATTGCCGAGACAAAAATTGACAAGTCAAATATTAAGCCAAAATTTCGGGATAAAGAAAAAAAAATTAAAAACAAAAAAAATTCCAAAATTCGAAGATTTTAAATTGTCAATTATCTAAATGATAAACGTTTTCTGGTAAACTCTAACTTAAGATGTATTACCATCTGAATAAAAAGAATTTGTCTATAAATTGTAGATACTGCTGTATTAGCAAAATCTTTAATGACTTGATAATATTAAAACAAAGATTGTGTCTTTTTTCTATGTTAAATTGTTAACTTTTAGGAAGTTTGGACAATTGCTTTTTATTATTACTAATATTCCCGATTTTATTCATTTAAAAACCCAAACTTTTTCTATAACAACAAATAATCTTAAAACTGTCGCACAAATAATAGATATTTAATTTATTAATAAATATCTTTTTAATTTCTAGTATGAGTATAAATTATGTTTATACTGTTATGCAAATTGTCTAATAATTATCAAATTAAAAGTTATACATTAATATATATATTAATAAAATGAATCTGTTTTTATATTAAAATGTTTCAAAATTTAACAATTTAAATTAATAATAATGTTTAATGGTATATTAATTATGAATATTAATAAATAAACACCCAATGTAAATTGTGCATTTTTCATGTTCATTATTTTTATAATATCAAATTTTATTATATATTAAAAATATTATTATAATAATCAATTTATGTGTTTTATAAACATTTTTAAATATATAAATAAAATTAATATAAATTATAGTTAATTGTATTTGACACAAATATAATTACAATCAATAATGAACTACAATGGTTATTGTTTTTAAAAACATTATTAAAAAACTGAAATTTTAGTAAAATTAATTAATATATTTAATTCAAAAAATAATTATCAATTGAATTTTTGTGTTACTTCCTAAATACTAAAGATAAATCAAGCGAAATATAAATAACCGAATACACAAGATTTTCAATTGGTAAATTAAACCAAATAAAACTATAACTATTAATTATGATTTGATTCCAAATGTACATAGTTTGATAATCTTTACAGTAACCCTTTAAGCATTTTTTGTTTTAAATGCGTTTTTGAAACAAAAAAACAAAAAGAATAATCACAATTCCTCACATTATTCGTTTTTAAATCATTAATTCTAAACAAGTTTGATAAATTTTCTATTAAAATAACACCGACTTTCATTATTTTAACCGCCAACACAAATAAAAATTCTGCTCATGACGTTGTTTCATTTTAATTACACAGTAATATCATAGATTATTTAATTGATACTTTATTATAATTTTTAGTTTGTGAAATTAATAAAATTAAATTAATAAAATTAAAAAATAAAACAAAATCATTCAATAAGCTATATAGTGTTATATAGTCAATTTAAAACTATTTCCTTATTGACAAAAATAATTGGTTCTTGATTAAAAAACGGAATTAGTAAAATTAAAAAATAGAAACAACATTTCGGGCTTTTTGAAAATTATCACAACATAATCACATTATAATAGTCTTAAAACATCAGATAATGTTCAAGATTATGCTAATCTAATGACTATCAATAAAAAACATTTTTTTATTTGTTTTTTAAACATTAAGATATTAAAAAAACAATTGATAATTATTGCATGATCATTATTTTTTAATTTTAAATGTTATAAACAGTTTAAAATAGTTGTCCTCTTTTTGACATTTTCCAAGAAATGTGAATAATTATAATTAGATTGATTTAAAATAAACTTTTAAATTCTTCAATATTTTTAACATAAATAATTTCAAAACTTATTAAATTAATTCCATTTTATACATCTCTCGTGAATTTTATCACTCAAACAGACTTAATTATACATAAGGACTACTTTCTAAAACATACTAAATAATTTAATTAATTGAATCAAAAAAACAATGAAAAAATAGTGTTTTTATAATAACTATTTATGTATAGCTTTCAATTTTTTTAATAATATTGGTAATTTATTAACTCTTGCATTTGTAATACATTTTTTAATTTATTGATTACTTAAAGAGTGTAAAATTGATTTTTTAACTGATTATATATTATTGGTTTTTTGTTTATCAAATAAAAAATTAATTAAATTTGAATCATATGCGTGTCAATTAAATATTTTTTAACACATAAATTATATACTCACCCAAGCTTAAAAAACACTATTATTTAGACAATATACTGTAGGCATTAGAATAACATCAATGTGGTAGTATAAATATTTTTCAAAAATTTATCATATTGTTTAAAAAATATACTTACAAAATCGATATATAGTAAATTATAATTATACAATTTTACAACATATAGATTATATTCTTTCTAATGTTTTGAATTGTCGAGCCACTTTTATTATCTAATTTATATATTTTATTATAAAATATTTATTAAACTGTTGTTTTGGTTTTGTTTAATAATGTTTAAATTATTAATTACTGTTTGATTATTTAAAACCCATAATTTATTTTTGTAATTGATATTTAATTCAAAAGACTTACAAAAATTATTGTTAGTAATTGAATTTTTCTTAAGTGGGTTTAGTTTAAAATAATTTTCTTTGTGTATATAAAATATAATAATTAATAATATTTAATTTAAATAAGTTTCATTAAAAATTGTTCGAAATTATAATTGTCAATAATCGAGTTTAATACAAATGAAATTGAATAATTATTAGTAAGTAATTACAAAGTTATCATAATGACAATTCGATTGATAATTGAATATAATTCTATTTTTATTTTGAATTATCAAAAAATAACGTTATTTATTTGGCTTACTTATGTAAAATAAATCATTAGTTTATAATTATATATATTATTTATTGTTTATTTGTTATTTAAATATCCCAATATACGTCGAAATCGTTTTTTTGATAATACTTTTATTGTTTTTTCAATGATTTGTTAATAGTTTAATCTGTTTGATGGTTTATAAATAACTTTAATTAATTATTAATTAATGGTTGTTATTAGGTTTTATAATGGTTATATTATTTGTAACATTATATTTTTAAATGTTTTACAATTTTAAATATAAAACGTACTATACTTAACTGTGTTTTTATTATACATTTTAATACATATTATAATAATTATACAGTAGAAAGCGTTTTAGTTTCTTAAAAAATCTGTTTTAATTCTTTATAATTCAGTTTATTTCTTTGTCTTTTATTAAAAATTCCAGTTTCAGCTTTTTAAATTCCATTCATTCTTTTTATATTTCCATTTGTGTTTTTAACAATTCCTTTTATTTCATCAATTTCCCACGTTTTCAGGACAATTACACTCATTTTTTGTTATTTCTTTCTATTTCACAAACTTTCTCAAGTGTATTTTTAAAGTTTCTTGTCTCTCAATTTTATTTCTTTTCGTTTCAAAAAAATTACTACCGAACGAGTCAATTAAAGAATATCTCTGGCTAAAGCTTTACTCCATATTTCTGTCCTGCAGCGTTCCATTGTTCCAATCACTTCATTTGGGAGTATACTCTGAAACGAAAGTGATATTTTGTTAAGAAGTTCTTCAAGAGAAGATCACAGTCTGATATCCCTCTCACATCTCGCTTTCCAAAATCCAAAAAAACGTTTTCAATTGGATTTAACTCCGGGCTATATGCTGCATTAAAAACAATTGTGTGTTGTGTCCCCTCTAACAATTCTTCCAAATCCCGATTAATGCTGCAGTTGTTCATCCAAAACACGACCCTGATGTTAAGTTGATCATAGTTATGGATGAGTTTCTTCATATAAGCTTGAAACATTTCTTTGTCGTTTTTTCCAGCCACAATATTACAATAAGAAGTCCCTTGAATGTTGATGGCACTTACACTGGACAGTCTTAGCCCTCCTTTAGCTTTCGTTATGAAGCATTTTTTGCCTTTCTCACTCTACCCATACTTCGAAGTGCAACACACGCCATGAAGTTTCGTCAACACAGACCCAACTGTAGCCTTCTCTAATATAGCCATATAATCTCTCAATCGCTTCAATTCGTTTTGTTTTGTTCTCCTCTGTATTAGCAACAACATCTCTCCTCGTTTCTCTTTTAAAGCTCAGAACTGGGATTGTTCTGGTGTTTTCATCTCCTGAGTATCCTCTGATAAATCGCAGAAAAGCTGAAGTGGAGGGGAGGGCGTGTTGAACGATATCATTTAAAAGGCGGGTTTCTTCTTCTCATCTTTGTGGTATATTCGCCGTGTTATTTAAAATACCCGAAATTGTTTCTTCATTAATGTCTTCGACTTGTTCAATACTTGTGGTATTCTCTATTTCCATTGCAGTTCGAGCCACACTTCTGACTTTAGTTATTGATAGTGTTGGGTCATATTCATAAACTTTTGTGACTAATTATTGAAATGGCTCAACTCTAGACTTTCTTTTAAAGTGATTTTCTGGAAGAATTGATTTGCCTTTCCTGAGTAGACTAAGTAGTTTGTTGAAGTTAACAATATTGATCCCAACAGTAGTTGAATAATACATTGGGCTCTCGTCATCTCCATGTATTCTAAATTCGGATATTAATTTTCTTTTGGCACTGAGGGAGACCCTCACATATGGTCGCTTTTCAGTAGTCATTCTGGTGCTTGTTCTTGGTCTTCCTCTTTGGTGTGTAAGTTGGAGAGGTGGTATAAATGGATGTGTTGGTTCCACATTTGCGACAGTGCCTTCCCTTGGTTCGGGAGAGTTTTCGATGTACCGAGATCGTACAAATTGTTTTCTGGAATCAATATATTCAAGAGTCATATGAATTTGTATTTATTATTTTGTTTAAATATTATATCTTTGTTGTAGTTGGATCTTTTTCGATTATTTGAAACGAAAAGAAATAAAATTGAGAGACAAGAAACTTTAAAAATACACTTGAGAAAGTTTGTGAAATAGAAAGAAATAACAAAAAATGAGTGTAATTGTCCTGAAAACGTGGGAAATTGATGAAATAAAAGGAATTGTTAAAAACACAAATGGAAATATAAAAAGAATGAATGGAATTTAAAAAGCTGAAACTGGAATTTTTAATAAAAGACAAAGAAATAAACTGAATTATAAAGAATTAAAACAGATTTTTTAAGAAACTAAAACGCTTTCTACCTGTATTATTTCTATATTAACATTACACCTTCGGTACTTTCCAAAGCAATTTCTCGACACGTCGAGTAATTATTCAAATTTTCTAAAAAGTGAATCCATCAACTCGTAGCCAAGATTTGTTGATTCAACTTGTTCAGAATCACATCAGTGTGTACTCCCCGCATTCCGCTTTCGACTCGGTCAATGGTGGAATAAATGATTGGCTTTCTTCTACTTTACAAAGTCTTCCGTCTTCTCCATTAAAAGTACCACCACACACTCTTCCAATCACTCCTGGTAAATTCCAAAAGATTTCTATTGGCGCAGGCAGACTTCTCACATTCGACGACAAAATTTCTTTTGATGATCTCCTCGCTGTTTCAAAGAAGTTTTTGAACGCACCTTTGCGATATACAAAGCTTTCTAATTTCGATAAAGTCAAAACAGTGGCGATTTGTTGTGGCAGTGGTGGATCACTGTTTAAGAATGGTTGTGCGGATGTTGTGTTTACAGGAGAGATGGGTCATCATGAAGTTTTGGAACATTTGAATTTGGGGGCTATACACCGTTATATAATAATATATATAATATAATATAATATAATATAATATAATATAATATAATATAATATAATATAATATAATATAATATAATATAATATAATATAATATAATATAATATAATATAATATAATATAATATAATATAATATAATATAATATAATATAATATAATATAATATAATATAATATAATATAATATAATATAATATAATATAATATAATATAATATAATATAATATATTATTATAATAACATACTATTAGAGCACACTGTTACGGAACGGGGTGTTTTAAAGTACGGGTACCTCGACTTTGTGAGTTATTCCCAACCCTCCACATAAAAAAGTCCAAGACTGATTTATGTCTGTTGCAGTCTACCATCTAATCTATACTTTTTTGTAAATTTAATAGAATACAATAGAATATAATATATTAATAAAACAATAGTAAAATATATTAATAAGATTTCTATATTAATTAAACAAAATCAAAGGTGAGATGAATTTGTATTCTTCACGAAATGACAATGAGAAGATGTATGAAACATTCAATTTCAGAACTACACTTATTGAAGAAAAATGCGATTTGGAGATAAAACAACACCAAGATGAAATCGGCATATTTGCTCAACCAAAGAAAAACATGACTGATGTTTTAAAAAAACTTGGGTAAATTAGTAAATTCAAAAAACAACACCACGAAAAACAAGAGCAAGTGAAACAATAAAAATATCTTACTTGAAAATAAAAAAAGGTCTTGAGAAAATGATATAAACTAAGATTATAAGTGTATTTAATTTGGATAAAAACGACTGGTCACAAAACACGTCCATGTCTGATAAATAATTCAAAAACAGTAACAATTTGTGTTTTTTGGTAGAAGACACAATTCACAACAAGTTCGGGGGCATATTAACTGGCAATATCAATAATGTTGACAATAATAGTTCATACATATTTCCGCTTGTTAGAAACGGTACTTTGAATACAAAAAAGTCTGGAAAGAGTAGTAATGATCTTAAAAGTGAATTTTTCCTTTATTCTCAATACAATTTTGCACTTTTTTGATTTGGTAGTGGTCTTCGGTACAGTTTTGGTTGCCAAACTGAAGGTGATATACGTTTTTTAAAGAAGGCTATTAATAAAAGTTATTGCAAAACCAATAGTTTTACAGCAAAACAAAAGAGTTGACGGATGATCCCCGTTTTACACCAAAGAGTTTTATTGTTTTACAACTCATTTGATTTATTATATACTCATCATTTTGTTTTCTATAATAATTGTAAGTGTTAAAGTGAACAAGAGTTTAAAAAAATAAACAAAAAGTAGAGTCTTGTTTTGTATGAAATACTATTTTTTATAAATAAAAAAATAAGTTTTAGAGATAAGATCAAAAATTAAAAACAATAATTTTTAATCAATTTATGTCAATAATAACGAACACGATGATAACATGTAATTGTATTTCAGACAAAAAAACACTTAAAATATCGAAAGAGTAAGCCATTCTTGATTCTGTGATGTGTGAAAATTGAATATTCATAAAACATTTTAAAAAAACATTTTAATGTTTGTGAAAATAATAATCTACAAAAATCAAATAAAAGATTTTAACTATAAAAGATTAATAATTACATTATTTATAATAAATACTATCTCTGATTTAGTTTAATTAATTGTAAACAATACTATACATTGAAATATTAATTAAATTAAAAATACCCTATAAAGTAACTTTATTAATTCAACAATACAAAATATATATATAAATTATAATACTGAATAGTATAATCTAATTTTTAAAAACTTCAACAAAGTTTTTAAAAAGAAAAAAGGAAACTTCTTTTGACGAAACAATGACTCAACAAACAAAATGTTTGTAAAAAAAGATTTGTTTTGTATTCAAACGGACTTATTTTTAATAGTAGGTCAGCAAATATGTTATTAATGATTACTATAATTAATTCAAATGAATGAAGTATGTCATGATGTATTTAATAACGATTTTAACAATTAAATCTAACAAAAATCAAAATGTCGTTTGGTGTATTTGAGCAAAATGATGAGATGTTTAACATCACGTGTTTACCAAGGTACCAATACAAATTCCGATTTATAATTTGTTCGATCAAGTGGGTTCTGCAAGACTGTATGTTTATGGCACATGTCGGGTTTTTACCAGTTTTGTTCTTTGGCGAGACTCTTCCGGATGAAAACTCCATGATTGAAACCAATGAATTTGTTATCACAAAATACAAAGGTTGTTATGCAGTTGTAAATCAATATGTAATTAAGCAGCATGACTGGAATTTATATGCTAATTACATTGAAAATGGATATTTAAATGTTCATATGTTTTATTTAATTATCATAATTAATGGAAATATTTCGCAGCTGCCCGAGTTGGAATGGTATTATGAATATATATTGAAACCGTCATCCAATACACTTCCACTTACCCCCATTTTAATTATTGGCGGAATAATTAAACGTGTGATTGATTATCCATATTCGCCGTATTTCCACAAACATGCATTGGTTATAGATCTTGAATTCAAAGATGAATCAGTCAAATTGGTTGTGGATTATGCAAAAAGCAAATTTCTACAATTGGAAAAGAATGTGTTTTATTTATTTAGAAACGTTGAATTCAATAATAATGATGGCATGTTATATTTCAAAAACAGTTCAATTTGTTTGAGATGCAAAAGAGGAGACACTGTCATAGATGAAGTAGAAACGTACGCTTCAAAATCCAATAACAATAAGGTTGTTATATCTTTCAAATAATAATCTAGTCATCTAAACAACTAATTTTTATTTTAGTTAAACTTTATTTTTTGTAATTGTATAAAAAAATAATTTACTACAATAATTATTATGCACTAATTATAATTTAGATTGTCTAATAGTTATACTATTAACACTTTGACATAATTAATTGGTTAACACTTTAAATAACATTGAACAAAATTCAAGTGGTGTAAAAAACGGGAAAAAACGAGTTTATTAAATAAATTTCCGTTTTTTAAAGAGTTAATATTATATGCATAAACAATACACAAGCCAAAAAGGAAAATCATCAAAATTTAAATTAATATCCCTGTAAAAACAAACCAAAACAAATATAAAAGCGTTATTTTAAATGTTAATATAATTAATTGGATACACAAAACATTGAAAAAATTAAAAATGTTAAAATATCAATATAAATTTGTGAATCATAATGTATCAATTAATTGTGGATGAAATAAAAAATGATAGACATTCAAATTATTTTGTTTTAATAAGTGATGTTTTTAATCATATTATTCTGAAATAAATCAACTCTCTGATCATATAAAATAAGAAAATCTGATAACCAAAAGAATATAATTATGATTGATAAATTCCATTTGATAATAATATCACAATGTTTTGAATCGATGAATGACTTTTACAATGTCAAAATGGTTTGCAAAAAATTCAATAGGACGTTACAAATATTTCATTGTAATCCAATTCCTGTTAATAAAACAACAATCAAACACTTTCCAAATATCAAGACACTCAATATATGGTTGGAAAAAGATGATTTTTTGCTGTTCTAAACAAAGAACAGACACCAACAAAAAAGTTCTTTAGGGTTGTTATAAGGTTCCAAGTTTCTTATAAAAAAACACAAAAAATACGTAATATAGAAGTTGTATTTAAAAATGTTTGTTATACAATAGATGATCGAATCAAATTTGGTGATGAATTGTTCACAGTTCCACCTACAATTTGTTTTTTGTGAAAATGTTTTTCAGAATGCAACAAAATAAACATGATAGATATTCCATTACGATTAACTTGAATAAGTGTTAATTGTTTTGCATACTATTCATCGTTAAAATAATGTAACAATACATCCTCTTGTATACTCATTACCATCACATTATTTTTTCGTATTGTACATCACTCTCATCGGTTGTATTGCCAGATACAACAAAATCTTTTGGAGAATTCTGTTTTGGGTACTGTTTTTCACTTTCAGAAATTAAGATCCCCAAAAGTATTACAAATATTGGGAAACTGTGTTTTTACAATTGTTTTACACTCTCAATAATTGAAATTGATAAAGAAGCACAAATTAAAGTTATCGATCAAGAAACGTTTTGGAAATGCACTTCACTTCTTTCCTTTTGTATTCCTCAAAACGTCAATTCGATTGGATTTGGGTGCTTTCCAATAAGTAGTATGTTAACTTCAATTTTAATTTTTAACGAATTTAGATTATATTGATAATAATTGCTTTTATGGTTGTAGAGCTCTTCATAACGTCACATTGTCAAATACATTAACAAAAATAAATAATGGAATATTTGGATCATGCTCACAATTATCATGTATTGATATTCCACAATGTGTTGTTGAACTTTGCCCGTCATGTTTTGAGAATTGTTCGTCTCTCGTCAACTTTAAAATACCAGATTGTGTGACGTCTATCGGACATCATTTTTTGCATGTTGCACCACTTTAAATAACGAAGGTTTGCCTATTAATGTTAAAGTTATCGACAGTGGCGTTTTTATGAATTGTTGTTCTTTAAGTAAAATTGAAATTCCAAGCTGTGTTTCGAAAATCAACGATTACTCTTTTAATAATTGTAATTCACTTACATCTATTGTTCTTCCAGTTGGTCTTATATGTTTGAACAAATCATGTTTTAAAAACTGTTACAATCTTGTTAAAATTGAAATGGATGAGAAATTGGAGTCAATTGGAACCTCATGTTTTGAAAATTGTAATTCTTTGAAATCAGTTATAATGCCCAAAACAGTCACTTTTATTGGGAAGACGTGTTTTAAAATTGCATCAGTTTGAGTATTGTTAATATTAATTACACATATGTTGAAATGTGCCAAAAATTGTTTTCAAGATTGTTGTTTTTTATGTTTAATTAACTTTAATTTTAATGAGTTAAACAAATTGAAGGCGAATTGTATTGGTGGATGTGTTTCTTTATTTAAACAATCAGACTTACAAACAATTATTTTAATTTTTGTTTTTGATTTGTTTATAAATTTTAAAAATATAATTCAAATAATATTTTTTATCAAAACAATTAAAAAATAAGTTTATAAACTGTGTTGATAAAATAACTGAAAATTATATAAAATAGTTTGTTTTGTAACAACTAAATTAAAACATCAAAATAACAAAGGGTGTTGTATAGTATCAAGTTGTCATCAAAACAAAAAACCAGATAAAGTTTATTTTGAAAAAACTTGCTGATATTACGATATATTCCTGTTATCGTACGATAATTATTGAACGGTATTGGTATTTTATAAAGTTAAGTCTGTACTTTCGATTATTTTTTTTAATAAAAATAAAAAATAAATACAGACTTTTAAACTACAGTTTATTTATAACTTCTATAATTATAATATTTAAATAAAAATTTAGACGTATGATTTTTAAAATGAATTTCTATTAGAAAGATTCGATACTATAAAAGGCGCTGAATAATACACATTTCTGTATTATTTAGTATTGTCGAGTAAATCATTAAAGTTGACCAATATCATCATTTTGAAAAAACAACTTTTTGATAAACTCACTCTAAAATAGTTTAACAGTGATTTACAAAATAATAAAATAATTCAAACAACAAAACATTGATTGTTTATTGTTTTATATTTTTAGTTGTTACTTTTTTGAGCCAAGACTATTTTGATTGCTTCATTAAACACATTTTCCAAGTTTACTTGACTCAAAGCAGAGCATTCAATGTATCTGTAAGCTCCAATACTTTTTGCAGCATCCAACCCTTCTTCTGTTGTTATTACATGTGTTGCTTTTGTAGTGAGTTTGTTGATGGTGTTCTTGTCATATTTTAAATCAAGTTTTGTACCAACAAGCAGACATGGCACGTTTGGGAAGTTGTAAGCAACTTCTGGTTTCCACTTTGTGACTATGTTGTCGAGTGATGTGTGTGATACCAACGAAAAGCACAGTACAAACACGTCTGTATTTTGATATATGAGTCGGTTTATTCTGTCATAGTCTGTATACTTTGCAAAGTCACACAACTTTAAATCGACAGGTGTCTTTTCAATTAAGACTATTTTACTGAAGTCAATAATGCATGTTGGTATATATTCATCTGGGAATACATCTGTTGTGTATGTGACAATTAGAGATGTCTTTCCAACACCACCATCGCCAAGAACAGTGCATTTGATTGTTTTCATTGAATTGGATTTTCTGATTATTGAGAAAGATCAACACAAAACACGTTTTATAAATAGAATAATTAAATTAATAGTAAAATTGTGATTTGATATAGTATGCTCTATTTAAGTAAACGGGAAGATGGTGTTTGGTAAATAGATACATCAGTAAATGACATTAAAACAATAGAACCGGTTTAAATTAACAGTTGTTTGATTACAATGATACCATTAAAATACAACATTAAAAATAACAATACCAACACGAAATTATTTCTTAGGTGCAACAAACAAACCATTTTGGAGTCTGTTTTTGTCGATTGCCTTTTGTGCGTCTTCTTTATTGTAAAAACCGACAAAGGCGATTTTAGAGTTGTCTTTTCTGTTGACGACGTTGAGTGTCATGATTCTCCCAAAGTGACCGAGTGCTTCAGCAACGGCAGCACCGTTGTCGTTATCTTTGACATTGCCGACATAGACAGTCTTGTCGTCTTGTGCTTTGATTTTCTTTGATTTTTTGAAAGCGAGTGCCATGAATCTGTTTTCGTGGAATTTTGTGAATAAAATTTGGTTGAATGTTGTTTCAAGCACAATTTGTTCGAAGTCTGCGACGACATACACTTTTGCTGCATTTCCAAATCCAACGACATTGACGCCATTCTTCATATTGACGACTATTTGCATTGTGTTGTACTTCTCATACTTTGTGTTATCTTCACTCGTTGCAGTTGAACTGTTTTTTGACGACTTTGTGTTGTTTTTTGCGTTCAAGAAGTCGACAATGCCAAAGATCTCTTCCTTCTCGCAATTCACAAAAATTCGTGTTTTTCGCAGTTTCTCAAGAAATGATGGTGTTCGGATGTTCTGTGCAAAAACACTGAAAATTTCGCCATTGATGTCATCGAGTCGCCACTCCTTTGGAAATGCACACAGCAACTCACTGGTGATGGCAGACTCACACACCTCCTTCAAGTCACTCTCTACTATATACACCCGACTTGCCGTGACGGGACACCTTTCACCAAACACATTGCTGACAGACAGACAGCTGTAACACCTCTCAGCATCACTTCTCGTGTTGTACGCAACATGAAGAACTCGCCTGTTGTGTTTAATTGCGACTTTTTCATGAAAACTGACGACACACCCAAATGACGCAAAATAGTCGAACAACTCTCGTGTGATGGCAACTTGTGGAAGAACAACACGAAGACCAAATCCGATCTGTTCACTTCGAAATTGTGGAGGAGTGACAAATAAATCATTACAACGACGTTGCACCTGTGCGGAAAGCCGTTTGTCAAGAAGAACACTAAACGACGCGTTGGCAAGACTACTCACAACAACACTGAACTGCATGAAGTAATCAACTATCTCCTTTGTGAGTACACAATTGGTGAATATAATGTACTCCAATGCACTGCGATGGACACTTCTATACAATGGACACATCGTGAAGACTTGAAGTGTTGGCGCTGTCATGATCGTTTGAAGGTCACTCAGAGTCGTTGTAAAAACAGCGCCATGCGTCATCAAAACTACACAACTGCGGTGAACACACAGCTCACTCAGTGCATTTTCAAGAAGTGTCACGTTTGCAGCTGTCTTCTCAAAGTCGCGGACATACACATTGATGTATTCGTCACACCCCATCTATTTTATTTGTTTTATTTTATTGATTTATTTATTAATTCAAGTTTAGATTTATTAGATAGTATAATATTTTTATAGTATATATAATAGTATATAAATGTAAATAAATCATTGGTTCATTTTTATATTTTAATAATTTTATAATAAATTTTATAATAAATTATAATAATTTTATTAAATTATTAAAAACTTTTTATATTTTTCATTTCAATGATGCAAAACTTTCATTTTGAATTATTATACTAATTGTGTTATTTTTCATCTTTGATAGAACATAATAATAAATTATAATATAACATATAACAACTTTGACTTCATCTTGGAAACCCCCGTTTGATGTGCTTTTTGTTGTTTGTTTTTCTCAAGTGAACTTTGAATTGTTTTGATTTCACTTTTTGTGTTTGTGTTGTCTTCAAAACAATTCCAACACCTTCTATTGAAAGCTGTTGTGTGATCCAATACATTCGACATCTCATGTATTCAACTCCAAATGTTTTATCATTGTCTTTTGTGTTGTCATTTGAAATTCTGTTTTCATTTGTAATACTCTTTGATACAACTTGTAAAAGACGTTTCATATCACGATAACACATCGACACGGCAATTTTCAAAAACGTGTTGGTTGACTTCCCTTCTACAAATGTGGTCATGAAGAAATCACAAATTGAGAACAGCCGCATTGCACTTTTTCTCATTACATTAAACATGTTAACATCTTCATTTCTGTCTGCGTGAATATCAACTTTGTTAGTTGTGTTGTTTTGTGTTATTTTCAAGTTGTTTAAATAATCGTTATAATTGCTATTAAACTCGTGGAAGTGCACAACATATTGTGAGTAAATTGTGTACAAACACTGCACTTCTTTGCTTTCCATTGCAAATGTTGTGTTCTTTTCACATTCACACAACTTCCATTTTGACACTTTGATGTGTTTGAACAGTTTGTAGTTTGTTTGTGTTGCAATGTAATGTGAAAGGAGAAGTGCTTTCACTCTGTTGTCATTGGTACCTCGCATCTTCTGCTTTACAACCCGCAACACAATATCACCATGACCTCTCACACAACATTCACATATTTCATTGATAAGAGATGAAGCCACAAATGTTGTGCTGAAATATTTTCTCAACATTCGTAACACATCAACAAGAATCTTCATCTGATTGGTCAATGTCAAGTTCTTTGTTAATATTTGAATATTATAAATCTTTGATACAACATTTAATAAACACAAAACACAAATCCATTTGTTGTTATTGTTGACTTGACAAATTGAAATGTTATTCGTTCTATTTTGGTGATATTGCATGTCTCAATGTTTTCGATTCAATGCAAATTGCCCTCTCAACCTTCTTGATGAATTATGTTATGTTGCTATTTGTCTTCGTTTGTTATTTTAACAACATTTGTTGAAAGAATGAACCAACAACAACAAAACAATTTCATTTTTCGCACAAAAAGTGATGGACTGCCATTTCATGTTTTTCTTTGTTATTTTCAAATTTTACACTTGAAACAAAATTGTTGCATGTTGTTGACTTTGAAAACGATGAACCCGCGGCAACAGCACTGCAAGTGACCAATCGAAATTGGTTCATCCAAAACAAACAGCAAACCACACGAAGTGCTGTCAAACTTAAAAGCAAACAAACCAAACAAGTCCAACATTTGTACAATGCTTCTTTTGACACTTTTGCTGTTTGCACTCAATGCACATGGTCTCTACATCATGTCAAGCGATTTAACAGTAGAATTCCACGCATCACTTGTTGATAGGTGTTACAAAGGAAGACAACACTACTACAAGTACACACTCTCTCGTGACTGGAAGACTGCACACAAACACACAGGCGACTCATGCACAACACTCACACACGACACTACACTGACATCTGGCTTTATTGTGAGAGAAAGATTGCCAGTGTTCTCAACATCAAAGACTTATTACTACAACAGTGACAGATGTCTTGCCGAACATCTTGCACTCCCAGAAACACTGTACATCCCAGTTGGTTGCATCAAACACCACAGAGAGTCTTTCAGACAAGTCACCGATGGTGTACACACCATCAAAAGGTGGTACAACAACGAAAAATGTGCTGGAACATCAGCCAGAAGGGAAAATTATTTCCTCCATCACTGCTACCAAGACAACTCTGGGTCGTCTTACATCTACGAGCCATTCACATCAATGGGACCATCTATTGCATCCCATGCTGGTGCATCACCATCCACATCAACTGCTTCATCTTAATAACTGATTTGTTGTGTTCTGTTATTTTTTTGATTGTTTTAAATGGTGTCACATGTGTAGATGATCAACAAGTATGTTGTCTTGCTGTTCTATATTTAATATATTATAATCAATTAAAAAACTATACATAATAATAATTCAACTCATTGCAAATCTAATAACATTTATACAACATTTTGAACAAAACAAATCACATCGTATTTATATCGTAACTATTTTAAGAGTTAATTACACTGGAACTAGCACTTCGACACTTGTTACAAACAACTATAATAACCATATTAATTTATAGAATAAAACAAAACTATTAAAAAACTATTTCATAATGATGGTTATATACTAGTTATATTAATTAATCTCCATTGTACTTCTGTTATGAAAAATGTAGTATATAAACTAATAAGAACTAGTATGATCTCCACAAAACCAACAAATGGAAATGAATTACTTTCATTCACATTTGCTATTTCACAGTTTTTGTGATCTTTTGAGTTACCAGTACAATTCTTTTCTCGTTTTTTGTTCCAGAAAACAGAATTAAAAATTGATACGACCAATCAAAACACACAAAAACGTCCACATATTAATATTACTATATAAACATTACAACAAACTCAGTCACCAAATGAAACAAATCACTTCACTTGCTGAGTTCAACGCCGTTCTCAAAGAACACAAACAAGTTGCTGTCAAATTCTATGCGACGTGGTGCGGTGCGTGCAATGCGACTACTCAATACTACAACGACCTCGAGAAGGAGCTCCCCAATCTCTTCTTTGTTGCTGTTGATGTCGACAAAGTACGAGATGTCTGCCAACACTATGACATAGAAAAGATGCCAACTTTCATCTCCTTTGTCGATGGGCAGAAAAAGGGAGAGTACACCGGGACTGTCAAAGACAACATCAAGAATCTCTTCTTGTAATTCACAAGTCACTTCTTAATGTTAATTTACTATAATTTACTATAACATACTATAATATACTATAATATACTATAATATACTATAATATACTATAATTTACTATAATTTACTATAATTTACTATAATTTACTATAATTTACTATATTATAATTAATAATTATAATTTCATACAATTTACTATATTTTACTATACTATTTTAACCAACATAATAAGACTCAGCGAAAAAGTTGACTGGTTGCTTATTACCGAAAGTGATGGCGAGGAGTGGGAGGCAGTATGAGTACTCCCAATTGAATGGATTATTTACAACATAACACATGCTTTGTTCGATGAACAGACTTTTATCGGAAGGTCTGAGGACATTAGCCAATATGAGGTGTGAGTCCCCTTGGAAATAACTGACAGAGATGGATGGGTCAGCAACAAAGTACTCGCCAACACCCAGAGCCTGCTCACATCGCCATTTTGTGTCGAACCCCTCCATACAGATCCCATTGATGGCAACATCAGTGCTGCCATGCCAACAGAAGAACCCGTCTGTGTCGATATCACCAAATTTGACCATTTCCTTTGCAAATAGAACTCGCTCCATTGCAGCGCAGTTATCGAGTAAGTAGCTGTTGAATTGAGTTTTGATAAGACAAATTTTTACTTTGGTGGGATGACTGGAAACATAGTAAACGAGAACTGAAGATCCAACTTCACAGAGTCTAACAGGGACAACTCCATCAAGTGTTCATATTCCTCCCAATGTGTGTTGTTGTGTCAAAGTTATTGAAATCGATCAGCCAGTGATATGGATTGTCATCCACAGTAGTAATAACAAAACCAAGTTCTTTGCTGTGGAGAAACGACTCGATGATGTCTGCCTTCAAGTTGTTGTAAGCAACTTCTGTGTCAAACAAAAAGACAACTTGTGAAGTTCTTCTAATCCCCGCTCGCCACTTGTCAAGGCGGTCTGAGAGCTGCTTCTTCTGGTAGGAGATGTCCTTTGAGAGTGTCTGCAGCAGTGTCTTCTCAACATGCAAAAATGTTGCAAGTTGGTTTAAAGCGTCAGTCAGCCAATGTCGCGGGGTGAGTTGCCACGTCGTCACATAATGAGTAACAACACTGTTGTATTTCTTACCAGTGAGTGTCAGATTGTATTGTGGTGTTTGGATGTATATACAGAAGCTCAAATTCCTAGTCATCAGGAACGTAGATCATGTACAATGTGTGTGTAGTGTTGTTGTAATCCAAAAGACAGAAGTCTGGGTTGGTCTTACACAATACAGTGCATTCGTCTTTTATTTAATTCATTCAATTTTTGCTCACCAAGTTATTCGTTGAATTAATAAGTCTAAATTCATTTTATTCATCTTGAGTTGTTATATTCATGTTGTGTTCAGATGCCAAATAATAAGTATCAGTGCTATTTCTAATTTAAGACAAATACTATAATTAATTATTATTATCTAATTATATTTACAATAAAAAAAATTACTAAAGTCAATTGTATTTATATTATTCATTTGTTATATAATAAATAACTCAAATTTGAGTTTGCAAGTAGATTTTTATTCATTCATTTGAATAATAATAAAGAAAATATGAAATTCTTGAATGTCACCTTTACTTTTAATTGTTTAAAATATACAACAAAAATGAATTGAACAACAATATTTGGTATTAGAATGAAAACATAATATTGACTGTGTTTCTTTTTGATAATATGTCAGTATTTGATTATCAATAACTGAATACATAGTTTAACGATATATTTTTGATGATTTTAATAAAAATAATGATCACCTTCTATTTGATATTTATAATGATCAAATAATATTAAAAAATGAAATATAATCTTTCAGTTATACGACAATAAAAAACAGTTGTATAACAAGTCTATTTAATGTTAATTCAATTTCAAATAACTTATTATTTAATTAAATATCAATTTTTATAACAAGTGATTGTTATTATATCACCATCAATTTAAAAGAGTGACATAAATATTATTATAAAACAACACAAAATCAACAACTCTACTTTTTTAAATGAATGATTTATAAAGTCACGAACACGGGGATCATAGTGAGTAATATAAAGCACGTTGCGAATAGTCCGAATGAAATCCACCCAACGACATTGACTGCTTTGTTTTTAGTTTTTCTTGAGATGATGAAAGCAACGAGCCATGGGAAGAGTAATAAGAAACCAAGTCCAAACATGAGGAAGACCAGATTGGTTGCCCTCTTCTCATCAACACCACTTGGTGTTTGGCAGTACGTAGGTTGTGCCATCATCAGGGGTTGGTTTACCGTTGGTTGCACGTATTGTGGTGTTTGTTGGTAGTAACTTGGTTGTGGGGGATACTGTTGTTGTGTGTTATTTTGTTGTTGTATATATGGCTGTTGTGAATATCCATTATATTGTGGTTGTTGTGGATATGTTGCTGGTAATGTTTGATTTGAGTAAACTTGTTGTTGGTATTCAGGTGGCGGGAGAACACTATAATTTTGGTCAGCCATCATTTCAAGTTTGACTTCATTATCAGTTTTCCATTCAAAAATTTCTTTATTATTATAAAACTAAAATTACAGAATAATTTATAAGACTGTAATTTTGTTTTTAATTTTAATTCTGTTTTGTGTTAATTAATTTATTCTCATAACATTTTTGTAATTCTAGTTTGATTTTATCGGAACACAAAGTGGAGTTTCTGATATAAAATTGAGTTCTATGTTTTTTTTTTGTTCCGTTAAAATTAAATAACATTATCAAAACATCTAGTTTTATCGGCAATAACATTACCAATACCATTCATTTTACATTTAAATTATGCACTTTATCAACCGATAAAACATGAGTTTACTTAATTCTACCACACCAAGAAAACACAACAAAATTTGAATTTATTCGACAGACCCACTTAGGCTCTGACTTCTGCTTTTACTTCCCGCCTTACTTCCACTACCACTTCTGCTATCGACTGAGTCATTTTTCTCGACAGCAGTAACAACTTCGGGTGGTCTGTCTTCACTCTTCTGTCCTTTAAACCCAGTCCAGTCGAATTTGCCATCAAACACGATTCCCTCTCTCTTCGCTATTTTCCAGAACAACATACGCAGTTGTAAATAGTCCGGCGTTTGGTCAAAGCTCAGTTTTTTGCACGTGTCCAAATAAGTTGCAAACTCCTCAGGTAATCCTTCACACAACTCACTCAATGGCGTGTTCTCTTTCTTCTGCAACACAAGTGCATTCTTATCCCCCTTTTTGCCTTTGATTCCTTGCCACGGCAAACTCCCCTTCATGAAGTAGACGAACATATATCCGAGTGCCTCCAAATCGTCTCGTCGACTTTGTTCTCTTCCTTTGTGATTATTAATAGAGGCGTAACGGACTGTTCCCACAAAAGCCTTTTCTTCAGCATATTTGATGTGTTTCATCGTCTTATTATCTCTATATTTCTTCGATAATCCAAAATCAATGACATACACCGTGTTCGACATCTCCTTCATCCCCATCACAAAGTTGTCCGGCTTGATATCTCTGTGAATAAAAAACCGGTCGTGGACCTCTTGGATTCTTTTAATACACTGGTCCGCCAACATCAGTGTTGTCTTCAGTGTAAACTTCCTCCCACAATACGTAAATAAGTCCTCTAAGGAAGGACCAAGTAACTCCATCACCATCAAATTCCACTCATCTTGCATACCCCACCACTTCACTGTAGGTATCCCTACACTCTTGGTTCCAGTCTCCCCATTCTCCATGAGAATCTTATACAAATTGTACTCATACCGAAGCTGTGGGCATCGAGCTTTCGTCGACTCCATCTTGATCGCTACCTCCTCGTCTTCATTAAATGTGTTCACACCTAAGTAGATATCACCAAAGGACCCACTGCCGAGCTTCTTGACCAGTTTGTACCGATTCGCTATTTTCATGTCCATCATCGCGAAATTTTTTTAATCGATTTCAAGTTTTCGTGGGTGATGGGAAATTTTTTTAAAAAATTTTTAATATTTTTTAATTGGTTCGAATCATTAAAAAAGTTAGAGTGGAAAAGAATTTAAGTTTTCTTTTATTGGCGAATGGCACTTTTTTGAATGTATCATACTGTTTGTCGTTATATAACAAATCCAATAACACACCAAATAATATTTGGAGAATAGTTTATTTATATTATATATTTACTATACCAGTTTGATTTAATCGATGGTGTAATTGTAAATTTGTTTTTAACGAGTCTATCATATTATTTTGATATACATTTTGTTAAGATCAAAATATTTATAATTGTTAATCGTTGTTTTAATTATTTTAATGTTGGAAATTGACGTTGGATATCAAAACAACTACAGTTAGACAAGTTTGCCTTAAATGGAATAGTTTGACTTAAATGGTCCATGTTAATGGTTTAAAAACCAATTATTATAGTAAACAGTGGGTTAAACTAGAAAAAAATATAATGGTTAAATTGAATAGTATTTAAATTATTATTAATTCTATTGTTTTATGTTACACTCTGATCTTGAAAAATAAAACCAAAACACATGTTAAGTATTGTTTTATATGTTTTAACGTGTTTGTCTCGTTGAGTTCAAACGCGCCAAAACATGTGCCGCCTCATTCGGAAACGTTTGTGTTACTTTATATTTATTTTAATATGATAAATCAGCAGTATTTCCTATCGCGATGGAAGAATACTGCTTTTAACTTAATTAAATAATAATATCCATAAAAACGAATTCAACGCAAGGAAAAACTGCCAAACCTCCCAAGAGTGTGATTTATTAAGAATCATCGCTTGATTTTGGCCAATAAAAAGTGGACCCACTCTTTAAAGAGCATGTCTATCTTGTTTTTGGTTTGTTCTTAAGAAATGTTCAAATAATAGAGAAAAACAAAAATAATTACACACTCTAGGGAAATTAGACTGTATTTATAATTGAATTTGAAATGTTATGGTTACTTTATTTGACAAATTTTGATAAAACTTTATTGTTTGTGATCACATTAAAATGTTGGTGATGATCATGATCGTGTGATAGTTTTTAATTATCTTTACTTTTTTCATTGCTTTCTTATTCTTTATGTTGTGTGTTTGGGTTTTTGGCTTGCTTTTAATTATTCAATTTTTTATATAAACTTGATAATAAAAAAGCAATTAATTAGTTCTGGTTATAGTTCAAATTTTTATTATAATTAAATTATAATTTTTACCATTTAACCCAAACTTGTCGTTTAAGTCAAACTTGTCATACTGTAAGTTTTAATTCAAACAACTGAAATTTTAAAGTAAACTTTGTTTTATATTTTATCATAGGTGGAAACAATAATTTATAATACAATTATTTATAAAGTATAGTTTTAATATGTTTAATGATGAAGAAAAATTATTATCATTTTTGTAATAAATATGCTTTGTTTAACAAGTGAAAATAATGTAAATAATATAATAATTTGTGACATTTATTGTTCAAAGTTGAAATAAACAAAACCCAAAACTTAATGTTTCAGTAGGTAATATTATTAACGTGTTATTATAAATTTGATGTTAATTTTATTAGTCAATATTATATTTCAAACATTCTTGATGTTTAATTTATTTTATCATTTATAAAGAGTTCAAGATGTTGATCATTACAAAACAATGATAATATTATATATTTCAATTAATTCCTGTTTTTATTATAATTCAAAAACTGAATTGTTATTTATACAATAAGTAACTTCATCATTAATTACATGTTTTTATTGATATACTCATAATCAAGAAGTCGAAACATAAAATCGCTGTTTTTTATACCTTGTTATTCTCTTATAAACTTTCATATTATTAAAAAAAAAACTTTAAACTAATACAAGAAGTCCGATTATAAATGTATTTAATATATAAAACTTAATATTAACTTTTTTAAGTGTTATAGAAATTTTTAGTTATTTGGAATTTTTAAAAAAAATGGTTAATAAATACGAAAGTAGAAACCCTACAATTTTTATCAAATTAATACTCAGGAATTTATTGTTTTCTTTACATTTTGTATTTTCTGATTTTTATGGCGGAATTCAAACACACCAATGGAGATTGAGGAAGTGGACGCTTATACATTTTTATCAACACTCACACCGAACATTGACACTTCATTTATAACCCTCAAAAACGCAATGTCCCTTCACCAAAAAACACCGAAACTTATCGTTGTATCAAGTTTTACTACCGACAAACTCAACGAGGAAATATCTGCATTAAACGACGCGTTTGATAAGTCGAAAGTGAGTGAACAGATCTGCAAAGACTTTTTGAAAGAAATATCAAAGGTTCTATCTACGTTACTTGATTTTGTCTCCTTATTAAAATCAGTCAAAAAACAGTGTGACTCTGAATTTACAAGTATACAGAATTATCAGAACCAAACGCTTCAACGAATAATAGAAAAAGAAAAATTTAGATGTGACCAAGAGCTCTCAAAAAACACATTTAGGAAGACACAACTTCTCAACGAATTTGCCGAACGAGAGAAAGAACTACTCTCAAAGATGACATCTCCTCTTATTGAGAAAATAGCGCGGAAAACCATCTCACGCCACTCAACTGAATTTTCAAAAAGTCTTGTCACTGTGAAACACGAGTGTACAGAAGAAGAAGAACTTCACTCCTCACAAATCACTGAAACCACATGTGATATTTTAGAAGATGATAATGAAGATGTCGTTTTAACACAGATGACACCAAAAAGTTTCCAACCGACACTCAAACAGTCGAAACCGCTGATTAAGTCTGACGCCGCGCATATTAAAAAAACGCCGACATTAAAAAAAGTGAAAAAAGACGGCAAAGCCAAAGAAAATAAAATGGACACGACGACAAAACTGATTCGAACGCAAATTGTCAAGCCCAAAAATAATTTAAAACTTTCTTCAAGTCAAACCAGTGAGGAGGAGCTTTATTCAGAAAACGATTCAAAAAAATCAACCGAGTCGTCTTCATCACCACCAGAAGACAAAAACGACAAGAAAGAGAAGAAAAAGAGTGAAAAGCTGTCGACCCATTCAGTGCTGTCTACAGACTTTTTAAGTGCCAAAGAACAAGACTCCCTTCACAAATGGACAAAGAGAGAAATCGGGCAAGTTGCCTTTGACTCGACTGTCGATCCGATCTCGCCGGGGTCTTGTTTCATCGCAAAGGAACTTGCAAAGTGCAACGGGTTCATCGTCGTCGCGGACGTGGACAGCACCACTCGCTTTGGGTTTTGTTTCTTTGAAAAAGTTGGACCTGATAATTTACACGTCAGCGATAAAAAGGGATTCATCTTTGTAATGACAGAAGACGGTGGTGATACACCTCGTAAAGTCGTGTTGAACAAGAAGAAAGGAATCACAATGGAAATTGCACTGAAGGGAAGTCCAAAGACTTTTGACGTTGATGAAGGAACACTTTTTATTGGGAGAAAGAGAGTCGGAATGATGAAGGGAAGTCGAACGTTTGGGGTCGGGGTCAATGAAAGTAAGACCGAAATAATTGAAAAGAAGAAGATTATTATTACTAGAGTAGTCGTGTATGCTATGGGGGAGAAATTGTGACCAATTTTTGAAAGAAAATGAATTGATTTTGAATGGCCATTTAATAATTTAAATATTAATAATATAATAATAAAATATAATATATAATATATAGGAATACATTAATATTTGGATATTTGTATTAATAATTAGTTTTTAATCACTATACTACATTGTTATGGATATTTCTTTTCGAAATAAATCTCAAGGTGTTAATGATCTTCTTCAAAAATAAACTTATTTGATATTTTTTGATTCGATATTCAATACACTATCTTTTCTTTTTTTTAAAAATCTTCAATAATTTCAGTAAAACCTCTGATTAGTAGATAAAACAAAAAAATAGAACCCCTCAATCGTTGTTATGATATTATTTTTTCTTTTCCCCTTGATAAGTGTTTTTAATTTTTATTAGTTGAAACGTCTTTTAATATGAAACCCACAACATTGAGAGGTTTTACTGCACTCAATTTATTATGATTAAAATTAAATAAACAAATTAATATTTTTATATATTGAAACAAAAATCATTCAAGTTACTTCGCTTAACACGGTTTTGCCATTGTCAGTAAATCCTTTTAACTTCAATAATTCGTTTTTATCTTTACTTACAAAAACTAGAGAAGACAATGGATGTCTCACTCCAACACTCATAAAAACTTCTTTGTTGACAACCAAATCGTCTCCACGTCTCGACAAAAATTGATGTTTTAAATAATGCACAACAAAAGTCATTTGAGGTGTTGTAATGACTTCTCCGTCTCGAATTCCACGTCGTATTTTAACGATAAACACTTCTTCAGTGTTGTCATTTGTGATCACACTCACCACTTTGTCACACCCACAATACCCTTCTTCTATTGTGATATAAACATCTACACTTTTTGAAATCGATTTATCGACAATTTTTCTATCATTTTCAACTTTTTCGACATTTTCAAAAAAGTCGAAATCTGGTCGACTTTCAGCTTGAAAATTTTGAAAATGTGCCAAACTTATATTTCCATCAATTGAAGAGCCATTGGAGTTGCCAAAGTCAACTTCGTTTTGTTTGAGTTGAGCTGTAAACAATTTGAATTTTTCAAAAAGCAAAAATTCGTCAAGTTCCTTTGGATGTGTTTGTTGTGCTGTTTTATATTGATAGAGGTGGTCATTAATATTAAAATATTGATCTACTAAACTTTGGGAAGACAACTTAAAACAACTCATCATAAAAATAAGAGTTTTAGTTTAAATATTTAATTGGTGTAAATTGTTCAATAAATGAAACTTTTTTATTTTGAAATCTTATTATTATTATATTAATATCCAAATTTTAAAAACTTTAATAAAAACAACACCATTTATTTAAAACACACAAACCGTCATATACATATATTTTAAATATATATTTATATCAGTCACACAATTTGTTTTTGTTGTTAAACAAGACACATAGTGTTAATAATATAAACAAATTTCAATTTTTTAAATATTAACTGTTATACAATTTAGCAAAGATCAAAATAAATTAATAATCGAATTTATTTTTATACTTTTTTCAATTAAGATCAAAATGTTGAAAATAGAATCTTTTCAGTTGTTTCTTTTAGTACAAAATATATCACTTTTATATATTTATTACAATTTAAGGCAGCTTTCTATAAACACCTTTTACTTTAATTCATTCAACAAAGAAATGAGTCAGAGCATTTTATCGCACAAATCACTTAAAAAAATCGTGTTGTATTTTTAGTACAATTTCTAGATATTATTGTTGAGTCAATTTTACATCCAGAAGTAAGACCTGTTTCATTTTTATTGTTAATATAGACAACTATCGTTTAACAAATACTAACACCACACTTTTCTATTTTGATACAGTCAAAAGACTCACACAAAATGTGAACATCTTTTTCACATTTTGTCTTAAGAAACCCAAAATTTTAATGTGATTTCGCAAAAAATTAGAAGTTGTAATTGTGAAGAAAAAGATGTGTTTCATGTCATTGCAAATAAAGCAGAAAACACTGAATTGGTGAAGAAGTATATAAACTCTAATTTGACTCAAAATTTGTGTATTTGTGATGTTGGACAGACTAAAAACTTAGATGGAGGATTTAATGATGATATTTTGACGGAAATCTCTGCAAATTATTTTGAGTTTGAAACCATCAAAGAACTCGTTTTCACTCATGTTAAATTAAATAATTTTGTGTTACTCAAAAACATAATTAAATTAATATTAAATACAGTGTGCGGAACTCTGGAGATGTCAAAAAACAATTTGGAACAATTTGTTGCAATAACTTGTAAACTCGAGAGTCTTATTTTTAATGAAAAAATTATAAAGAAGTTTCAATTGAAAATTATGGTGTTTTTGTTGTACATGATAATAGAAAGTACAACAATATATTCTTCATTGATTTGGATATATCTAAGTCCTATAGAGTGAAACAATGCGGTGCTACAAAATACACAAAATTTATTGTTATTCAAAATAACAAACAAATCATAGAGTTCGATGCTAAAGAAGTCTCTTTTAATAACAAATACAAAACTATTTATATAGTAACACCAAAAGGAGTTGGCAAACATTTAAAAAAATCAAATCACAAGTTTGTCAGTGAGTGATGACTATTTTCATCAACCAGAAAGAAAAATAGTGGAAATCCGTTTACATCTTGGGAGTTTAAATAATTTTTTTTTCGCTTATATACAAGTCAAAGAAATTGTATTTGAAAAAATCACAGTAGTCGATCTAATGAATTGTGAAATTGAAAATATCAAAGAAACATACACAAAATTACTGAAAGTTAACAATTCTAGAATTGGTATTAATAAAATCGCACAAATTGACGATACAAAAAATATCATAACAAATTGATTGAAATTGTTTTATTTTTTTAATATACTGTTTTATAATAAAAAATAAATTAATTATAATACATTTATAATACATTTATAATATAATTGATTAATAGTTATTATACTATACAGTATGGTTCTTATATTATAACGTTTTATTTTTTATATTAATGCGAAATTAAATTATTTTAATTGTAT